ATGAAGACACCCATGGCAGACGACATTTCCATGACAACACGCACGCGACAGGTGCGACTGATATCGAGAATAATCAATATCAAGGACCGGAAGTACCTGGCAGGATCATCTTACATCATCCAGTGAGTGGAGAAATTTATTGTGATATATCCGGTCTTTAATATCTTGGATAAAAACTCTTTATTCTAATAATCAACAACTAATAGATAAACATCAGGTTTATAAACGATTTCTTTCAACCAAATCTTCAGTTTAAAAAAATCATAATATTTTATTTTTTTTCTTCAAATTAAAATTTTCTTAAATTTCTTACATTTAGGAAAAAAGCTGACATGCACTGCTTTCATCGTTTATACATAAAATACTTGAATCATAAAATTAGGAGTTTTTTTATGGGAAGAACAAATATGAAAATGTTTGTGCAGTTGGTATACGATACTGCAATATGATATAATGGATACTATACCAAAAACTTTGTAATGTTTGGTCAACAGTTCCAGTACTTATTATGAAAATAATTAAAAACACAATTTAATTATTCGAAAGAAAAATCTAATAATATTTCATATATATTTTTTATCCAATTATTTTATATGAATAAAAATACAGTTTGTTATGTCCTATTTTGGTCATATAGTTCTTCAACTTTTTATGTTCTTTTACATCCTTGGCTTTCAAATATTCGGCTTTGAGCATTCCTGGAGAAGTTTATCCGGAAAAGCGCTTCGGACGCATACAATTTATAAAGTGTTGTTTTCATGTGTTAAAACTTCACCTAGGTAACTACTACTAAATATTTGAATGAAAAGGCGCAATAAGCTCACTGACATTGCGTTTGTCAGTTTTGATTATAAAGTTTGTCTACCAAGCTGGTGTGTTTTTCTAGATTGTATAACAAAGAACATGGTTGTAATTGGTGTGTAAGCGAATATAGCTTATGTATCTAATCAACGAAAGGGCTTCTAAAATATCGATGTAACATAATCACAAATAACTGGTATATTGTACAATCGTATCAACATTGGAACTGAATTTTTTATTAGATATGTTAAACCGAATTAAATGCTTAGGATGGATTTGGCTATTATGTGTTGATCCTTTTTTGGTCATATAGCTTTTAAATTGTTTCAGTTCTTATTCATCATTGGCTTTAAAATACTCGGCTTTTGGCGTTCTTGATGAAGGTAATTCCAGATAACTGCTTTGGACGCATGAAATTTATGTTGATTTTGTTTTTGAATAATCCTTATCACGCATTTCAAAGCATTTATAAGTAAGGAAAACCAAATACATTAAACGCCAATTGCAAATTGAAATTATTTCTTTCAAAATGGTACGCAAAATAATCATTGGGCACGAAGACGACGACAGAAAATCGTTAAATGTAAACAATGATTGGCCCAGTTTATAAAAGCTGCACTAATTGGTCAACTCATAATTTTCTGAAAAACTATCTAACCATTGGAAACCATCATGAAATTAATTTTTTCAAGGGGTTTAGTATTGACGCACTAAAATTAATACGTGTTATTTTGCATATTGTATTGCTGAACGTAGTCAAAATTAAATGAAATTATAAAATGAATTGTTTGCAATTTAAACTTTAATCACGTGACTTATAATCAGACGCATTAACATGCATTACAGTGTGTTACAGCAGCAGCTGTATGTAAATAATAGAACAGATATCCCACTCCTAAGATTTATAATATTTAAATATTACGTAATTGTTAACAAACAAATGTACAACAAACATTTAAGATTGTTGGTAACCTCATTACAGAACTAACAATTAGATTCAAATTAGAGGCAACAGAAGTTTTCCGCGTTCAAAACTCATAATTATATTTAGAAAATACAAATCAAGGTATAATAATAAAACCTGTGGGAATCGTATGAACTAAAAAAGGACCGAGACCGATTATGTCGCTTGTGTAGGCGTTTCCTACTATGTTATGATAAAACAGGAACTATAAATTATACCAGTGGCGTAGCTTCCATTGAGTAGTAAGGAAACTGCCTCACCAATTGTTTTTTCCTAAAATAAATTAAGATGGATAAAGAGAAATAGATTGTACAACATGTATTCAATAGTTCATAGTATAGAATGAAGAGGGTCCCAATCTTTTGATTTCTGTACAAGAAAAAGATACTTTTAAGAGGTGATCAGGAGTATCTCATTTATTTAGTTTGGATCAGGAATTTTCTTAATTAAAAGGCTGAAAGTTCTAAATTTAGCCAGAATAAGTACAGTTGAGTGTATTGATCAAATGCACATTGAAACATACCACTGTTTCATGATAAAAATTCCACAAATCTTGATTTTGAATAAACAAGAATATGGTGGTGGTCTTTCAATATAATATGTAAAAAAACAAGCAAAAAGGGAAAGAGAACGAGAGAGAAAAGAGCGAAACAACACAGAAGCACTTAAAATTTAAAGATGAAAATCATGATTCTTACTATAAGTAATTGATGTATGTAATTGTAAAACTCCCATTTGCCCAAAGGTAACTGGGGGACAGAAATATGGTCACTTTGGTCTTCTTCTGACCGATAGTCAAACATTTGCCAAAGTGGGGCGTTCGTTTGGCTGTGCGGGATGTACAAGTACGCAGCTACTTCTGGTCAGAATGAGGACGATAAATCTGATGCCCCGTGTAAAGAGATTGCAAAACACTCGTTAAGAACCATTTCAAAAACTCTATTAGAGTTCCTTAGGTAGACTGTTGAAAGGCAAAATTTCTATCCCTGTCCAATATACCTTCATTTTCCAGCGACAGTCCAATCTTCCCCGATATTCATCCCGGACGGCCTCTATTACAGAACCTACCTATTTTATTCATTGTTAATTTATTCATGTCCTCTACATAAATGAAATATTTTCTACTGGACTTTAAGTAATCAACAACCAACCAACCTTTCTGCCAAACTATTATTTCCTGATAACCAATCTTATTTTGTATAAAAAGACCTGGAACTTTCACGCCCGGCAGTAAAACAAACAAATGCTTAACAGAAGAGGACCGGATTTGCTTGCGGTTGCATAAATATACAGCTCCATCCGGTCCTAATGGTTTCGCTCTGGAACTATTCAGACAAAAGCCGGTTCGCGGTTTAAAATCTGAGACATTATCTCCCAAGCCGCATGGCGACTTTGAACCGATTTGAAGCCTGGACTCTTAAGCGTCAAATCGTTTGTCTCACTAGAAATGAGGGTCAAACTACAACACTGTATACAAAATATGATGGAAAAACCTTAATTTAAAAATCGTACAAAAGATATTAAAATTCACCGGTAAAAATTATTTTAAAAAACTATCACTTTCCTCTTTCCTTTATAATATGTTCTGAGTGAATTAAATTCAATACGAATAATTTATTATTGAATGCACAATATCAAAGGCTCTCAATTACCGTTTTCCCTTTAAATCTCGACATATGTACTTTCTAGCGTAATAATTGTGATGTTATCGCATGTTTTTCCCGTATACACTCTTTTCATTATGACAAATGTAATATTTTGATTCATGAATTATTACATTTATAGGAAGAACCAGTCTGTTTCATATTGCGCTCACGTGATTGCCCTAAATTTAAATGAATAACGTGATGATTGTGCATTTTCAAGCAACAAAATATTGTGAACAAAGTATAAACGCCAGATCTCCTTCCTTTTCGTTTTATTGCTCATGAATTGCAAGATATTCATATAATCAACACATAATTATAAAACGGTAACTGACCCTATTAGATCAATGAAAATATTTTGTGAGGACTAAATCGTAAAAACACGTATGACACCTTTCATTACGTACGCTCGGGACCGAATCTTGACAGGAAACAAATAAAAGAAGAAGCAGGAATGAACCTGACATTCTTGTTTCCGTTAAATCGTTTATTGTTTATTATTTGTAGGTCCTTTTTTTGTCTAAAATTTCTTCAACTGCGATCCAGATGTAGGTAAAGCGTTTAGGACGCTTGATAATTATATCATTTTGTTGTAATTGTTTGTAATTTCTTGGAAATATATGAGATGTAAGTAAGTGACTGCAAGGAGACCATCAGTATATCAAAAATTGCAATTAAGGTGGTACCAAACATCTTGACTAAAATTAATTTGGCTCTTTTAATTTTCATAAAATTTTGACAAAATATTTACTTTGACCCTTTGACAAAAATATAAAAATTTCAAAAAACTTGAACCGCACACTTTATCGGAAAAATTTCATTGGATATATAGCAGTTCGACAAACACTAATTTTGATCATTGAGAAGCTTAATATTTACTTAACAATATAACGTGATTAAAACGTTCAGCTGATTTTTAAAGAGTTATCTCCCTGTGATGTTATGTACCACCTTAAAGAGGTTTTGCATTATTCTGCTTCATGAGTACACAAAAAGAAAACAAATCGGTTGCAGGGGTGCCTTACCAACTTTAATTGTTTTTGGAATATCTTTCCTAAAAAAAAAAAAATCTATTCTAGACTAAATTAAGTTGTTATCAACAGTTCTACATTTTTTTTTATTTATACATATTTCATTTTAAAAGTTTTGATTTAAAGACAAGAAATTATCCGCCTTAACCATTATTATAGAAAAAATGTTGAATGAGAATTAAAATATGTAAAACATATCTTTGGCAATATCAACGAAACGTTAATACACGTTTTTTTATAATAAAAACAAGCGTGCAAATAGGTATCTGTTTGTTTCGTAGAGTTAACATAGGAACAATGCGTTGATTTCGAGTCGTAATTTGGGTTTTGTTTGTCTATAAAGGTTAATCATGTTCTAGGGTGTGTTAATTGCAATTCTGACAAATAGTTGTATATATTCAAAGGTTTCATTTACATCAATGTGTTTTAAAAAGAAATATATTGTTGATTATAGTTAATTTATTCTTGTAGTCGACAGAAGGTCCACATGTGGAACACGATTTACCATTAAGACAGTTTTCAGGTAGAAGTAGGTCACGTGATGGCGATAAAACTACAATGTCATCAACAACTAAACAACAGGCACCTACTGCATTCATTTCGCGACCTATGTCACCATTAACGATCAACACTGATTTAGACAACTATGCGCCATCCCATACCTTACACGATGAGATCAGTGCATCTTCCCAGTTCTTTTATTCACATATGCAAGGGCCGCTGAAGTCACCTGGAATATTTGTACCTTATACAGATGAACGGAAGCGGGAGATAATAGAAAGAGCCATCAAGGAGGCATTGGCTAACGGTATGTATATTTTGACCAGTCATTATAGCTGCATGTTGAAATTAGAAATATGAATTATTTTTAAGTTTTTGAATTGAAAACCAAAACAAACAAGAACAATCAACAATACCACGTTCTACAAATAGTTTATGAGAAAACGTACTTCCACTTTTAGTGTGTACTTAATCTTAAACTCTTTAAGCACATATTACACACACTATAACCAACCAAACTACAAGGACAAACGTAAAAGCAGTGTCCCAATATCATAATACCTTCATTCATTTAGCATTTATGTAAAAGAAACAAGTTTTAAAACATTTTTTGAGAATTATACCCATGTTTAAAATAACAAATATTGTTTATTGCAGACGAAATCTCAAGACAAGCAGAAATTTCAAAGACGTTCCCGCTGCAGGATCCTCCAAAGTCAAAGTTCAAACGTCAAATGTCAGCTGATTCCAATGACTCTAATGATTACCGTGCGCAGATTTATCCATCAAAGCGTCATCAGGACTCCTATTCCACTACTGATGTCGACAATACCGATCTTTATCATGGCACATATTCTACCCCAGCTTCTGTATATTCGAGTTTACCTAGTGGCAGCAAGCCGGCGTCTTCATTGAATGAAGCTTATCATCAGAACCAAATAGTTAAACCTACTGTTACAGAGAATATGGTTCAATACTTTCATAAAGAAGAATTAAATACATCAAACATACGTGCATCCCAAACATATACAAGTGATTGTTCTGGTGATAACTTCATGATTTCAACGAATCGGCGAAGCCAATCAAAATCAGAAACTATAAACAGTCCTCAGTTCACAGAAAGTCCCAGAAAAGAAACAGTTTTAGTAACAGTACCTGAAAAACCATATACTAAAAATTTACAATGGGTAGTTTCGGATCCAAATCCAAATTCTGTGAACGATTTTGTACCGGCAACACCTACTGTATTATATTCAGAAGATTCACCAAATCCCTTCAACAAGACATTAAGATCATCCACTGGTTATAGTCCTGGAAAATCTTTAGGTAATGTTAGATGTGACGAGGTTGACCGAACACTTTGCGCAAATGATTTTTCAAAAGAATTCAACCATGAATCATTTCATCGTGATGCCTTTCCTTTGCACACTTCGTCTACAACCGTATCTGGCAGTACAGTAACAGAAAAGGGATTTGTTTTTCCTCCTTCTCCAACAATTACACGCCCCTTACCTTTCAGTCCGAGAATAGTAGGTGAACAATTTACACCTAAATTCAAGAGTACTCCAAAAGCCATCCGGGAAACGTATCCAAATCCTGTAATAAGACGCACTGTGGAGTCACAAGTACATGGTTCTCCATCAAGAAGTTCAACAAACAAGTTGCCTTTACATAGTCCTGCCAAAGAACCATGGGACAAATTAAACATTAAAAGTCCGAGTAAACAGATGAATCCAATGAATCAATTACTTAATCAAAGGAACATTCAACATGGCCAAGGATTTTGTAACCAAAATCTGCATACTGAATATGATTCTGAAAAGATAACAAATTCATTTAATTCAACACTAAGTAGGTCAACCTCACTCTCAAATCATACGGATTCCTTTGCAAGAGAAAAGGCAAATGAATATATACAAAATAATATTCAAAACAAAATTCAAATTCAACCAAAGAATGGAAACTGCTCAAATGGCCACTTACTTAAGGGGGATGCGGAGAAGGAATTATTTTTAGACCAGGCCGTAAAACGTTTATTGTTCAGATCGTATAGCGCAATCGAGTTGTCGCCCTCTAAAGCTGATATAGAAAGAATGAGAAATAAAGTAAGAAATATGTATCGATCTATGTCAAGTCCTGCAGAAATGAAAGAAATGCTAAAAAATCTGTTAATGGAGGAGAGAATTAAAGAAGAATTTTTTGTAGACAATGATGTGTTCGAAACTTCATCTTCTCCATCAAAATTACAGCGACATCCGGGTCACATTCAATGTCAGCATGGTGATCATAATTTGTATAGACAAGATGGTTTAGCGGATGCTCGAAGAAGACTTTTTGTTGATGCACAACACCCAAAAGGTATGATACTTCCGGGACACCTTTTTTATCTAAAGTTTTATTAGAGTTAGAATGGTCAAACTTTTTACGTACTTATTTTAAATGTCCAGTTCATCACTTTTATAAATGTATTCAAACTGAAGTTGCAATCCTCGGGCAAAGTTGACTTTAGACGGTTTTAGCGTTTATTTGTTTAGACGCTTTTGGTGTCTAAGCTGTCAAGTTGAATTTTTTAGGATTATGGTTATAGTTTGGCGTATTCTTGTTTTTGTGGTTTTTACTCATTTGCATACAAGCCAATACGTACATAAAGTTTTGTTTTGAAAAAAAACCACATACTTTGACTGCTTTGAGTCACTACTAGCAAGTGCTTTGTAACGTTAAATAATAAATAATTAATTACATTAATAAATTGTAGAAATTACCATTGCTTTTTACCTTTTAAAAATAAGAGAATCAATTCCTGAATAACGCAAATGTTGCATCTACACCTAATCTGGTCAAATTAATGGAGAAATTGCAAATATTTATTAATATTTTGTACGTTTTATTTGCAATGGTTGGACTTTTTGCACATGTCAATTCATCTGAAATATTAACATCTTTGCGTAGATAACAGAGAGCAACAATATGCCACCGCAGCTGATGCTGACCTTCCTCTCCTTCTTGAAATGTTTAATCCGACTGTGCTCTCAGCAGATGATCATGAATCGGCAGGACATGCTCAATATGTGATGGGCAAGTCAACGCAAAGTTCAACAAGATGTTACCAAAGAGATATACCTCAAACAGCAAGATTTTCTCATCCTGATATAGCGCATGCCTCCTTCCGATTTCCAATGTCTTCATCCACAGTTGACAACAGGTTCAGCGAAAGAGATTATGATCGTGAATGTAATATGCCTGGATGTTCACATTCACAACCTCGATATGAAAGAGATACAAGCAGAAAGAGAAAGCATGGTATTTTATTTATCCATTATATTAATGTATGTTTTATAACCAAAAAATGTACATGCAAAGTTCATCATTGGTATCCACATAGTTTCACTTAACAGAATTGTCGTTTAAGGTACACTTTTTCAACAAGTTGTCGGCATTTCTATTTCTGTCCTCTCCAGTCAGACCTCTTCTTATCTTCATATGAATCGGAGTACCAGAATTTATGACAAACGACCATTTGAATTTTGAAATTATAAATTTCTCCCACCTTAACAGTAATATACCAACTTCACCTGCATATTGGATATACATTTCCCAATTCATTTGGTATTCAATAGCTTGCAGCTGCCATTCAGATTTTATAAAACGTCACAAGTGTCTAAGCAGAAAGTTGATGAACCAGGTTTATGTCAAAGACCGTCACGTCCTTTTTCTAAAAACGTTCATCGGGAGATACCAAGACCTATTTGATAAATATTCGGTATCAACTTCATCAATAATACATGATTGTCTTGGAAGTATAGATTTTATTACTGACGTTGTTTATCAACCTAATAACGTGTTATTGTGTGCTTTTTATTTGTCTTTGTACATTTTTAACCTTTACTGTTTATATAAAAAAGAAGATGTGGTATGATTGCCAATGAGACAACTCTCCACAAGAGACCAAATGACATTTTTGGTTATATCCTTATGCTGTGGCTTGGTATTTATACTATTGTGTTATTGTGCTATGGTCATTTTTTTGTATTCTTGTCTTTCAATGTGCTTTGTCCATACAGTTTTTATATGCCCTTTTTTTTAACATAGTTTGTTGTAATAGTGATTAAGATTATAACACAATGTTGACTGTTGTACCCTAATTTTTTACATTTTTACCTATTATGTCTGTTTGTTTTGTTCGCACATTGTTGTCAATATAATGGAATTCTATGCAACCGTCATACAAGTGAGATGTTTAGCTAGCTATAAAACCAGGTTCAAGCCACCATTTTCTACCTAAGGAAATGCCTGTACCAAGTCAGGAATATGACAGTTGTTTAGAATAGAGAAAAATGGACCCAAAAAATAAAGAACAGAGAATAATGAAGTGCTAAAATATAAAGAATAGAGAATAATGGGCAAAAAGTATAATGAATGGAGAAAAATTGCCTTAAAAATTAAAGAATACAGAAATGCAGCTCCCCATCCAGACCCTCATTATAGGTGGCAACCCATTTAACCTACATATTAAGACCCTACATTTTATTGCTTCATTTTTGAATTTTGCATATTATAAAAATAAATAATCATAAAATTCAATGATTTATATTATATAAAAAATTGCACGTTTAAATTACTTAGATAAATAAAAACTTTTTTTGGAAAACTGACACAATTTTACGGGGATATAACAACTGTATAATGTATTCTACACTATCAACTGTATATTAAGTGTCATTAAGTTGAATTGTAAAATACACGAATTCTAATTTTGATTTCAGTGTAAATACATCAACAGTAACACGTTTACTGCACCAGATGCACATTTCGACAACTTATGCAAAAAAATATTTGAAAATTCCTAATACATAACATTGAAGTGCTAATAAAACCAATTAGAAGCAAAAGTGTATAAGTGTGGTCTTTTTTCGTCAGATGTATAATAAAAATGTACATTTGAAACAGAAATCTTAAAAGATTAAATGCTGATGAAACCTGAGTTAAGAGCAGATTTTTAATGTGGTTTATTTTGCTCAATATTATTTTTTTACTTCTGTGTAGGGATAGGTGAACTGTTCGTATTATTTCGTGTGTCGATTGTGTTATATAAATAGTAAAATAACAAAAATACCGAACTCCAAGTAAAGACCTTTATCAAATGGCAAAATCAAAAGCTCAAACACATCAAACGAATGGAAAACAACAGTCATATTCCTGACTTGGTACAAGCATTTTCTTATGTAGAAAATTAAACCTTGTTTAATAGCTAGCTAAACCTAGCTAATAGTTTACATAATGTCTCATTAGAAAGTCGAAAAGTATTAAGCAGAAATCATTTATATTAGTTATATAATGAGACAATATAAGAGACATGGAAAATGCCAAATAGATATTCAAAATCATAAATAGAAGACACTGACATGGTAAAAACAGTACAAAAACGACCAAAAGACAAACTACAGTCCATAACACATAACATAGAAAACTAAAGACTGAGCAACAATATAATATGTGTTTGCCTCATTATGAATGTCCCCATATGACGACAAATGGTCATAGCTTTTTAGGGTCTGCTGTACTTATAACCTTACGGATACAGTTTTATATTTTTTGAGACCATCACGACAACAATAATGGAAGGTAGCTTTAATTCAAAATGTACTGTTAGTTTTAGGTGACATTGACGTATGTGTGTGTGTGTGTGTGAAATATGAAGCATTGTTAGTATGATGAGGTATTAGAATTTGTTTGATCTGTGAAGCATTGTTAGTTTTAGGTGATGTTGAGGGTTTTATGAAGGGTGAAGCACTGTTATGGTCATGTGACATTGAAATTTGTGCAAAATGTTAACAATTGTTATTGTCATGTGACATTAAAATTTATGTGAACTGTGAAGCATTGTTATGTTCATGTTACATTAAAATTAGTGTGAACTGTGAAGCATTGTTATTTTCAGGTGATGTTGAAGTTTGTGTGAACTGTGAAGAAGAAGATGAAGTATCGGATAAATCTCGATGTCTCCAATCAGCTCTTAAAAAGGTCCAACATCCTGAAGGAAAAACTTGTCGTTGTGCAAACATTGAAAGCGCTATTTTGGAAATGGCACGTGACGCATATAAAAAGATAAGAAGGCGGGACTCTAGTGAATATTCATTTGATAGATTCAACACTGAGGCGACAGAAACCCGAGAACAAATTTTCGATTCCGTCAAGGTTCTTTGTGAGATCAAATCAATGTGCAAATATGGCCGTGTCATCGACGACATATTTTCTGGAAGTATCATATTTTTGTTTAATTGTCCGACATTATTAGCACTAGATGACTTATGGGAAATATATTTATCTGGAAGATTAAAAGAAATGTTTAATTCGGCCTTCATAACGGATGAGTTAAAACATAAATATGGTGCTAGTACGGCTAGACTTGAAGTGGTTATATCTAAAGAAGTATATCATCGAGCAAGATCGGAACTACTGATAAGTAAGTTATCTAATCATTTTTTTTTTAAATAATGAAACTAAACACGTCCTTTTTCAACTTCTAACGATGTGATTTGAATATTCCTTGTTTGCCTACAAGTTTCGCATGTTTTCAATTATATATATCCTTCACTTTTAATTTTTTGGACTTGAACGTTCCTGATGAAGGAAGATCCTGAAAAGCGATTTGCACGCGCACCAGATCCATCGACAGGGTAAGCATCTCTTGCTATTCATGCCTCTCCCATCAAAGATATCAAAAGTCCTAAATCAAAGTACGAAATCTATCAGTAATCCAAAATCCATAAATATATTTCAGGAGAGATAAAATCACCGAAACTGAACACGACTCTTTCTAAAAGTGATACTGAAATAGCCAGCGTGTGTAGCTCTTCTAAAGAAAACTATATAAGAGACACATCACCGAGAAAAAAAGTGAAACCTTCCGCCCTAGCTATAATACACATGCGCAGTCAATCAGCCCCAAGTGTTAATCAGTCACCTTCTCCAAGTCCTTCCTGGATGTCGCAGCTTTCTAATTCACCATTTTCAAAAGAAAGAAAGTTTTCTTTCTCCAATATCGGAGAATTGTCACCACGTAAAGTGTTCCAAGAAATGTAAGTATGAGCTAATTAAGATTTCAAATTATCTATCATTGTCATTCACTCATCGGGTCTACCTTTGTCGGTTTTCCAGTTGGACACTGATTAATACAACTGTTTGGAGTTCGTTACTTTCCCCCTTTATTTATTTGTTTTATTGATTTATATTTTGTTCGGTTAACTACTGTTTCCATAATCTATCAATATGTGAAATTCCTGATAATCGGTACATCCGTATAGTTAATTATTTACCCAAAACTAACAGAAAATAAACAGTATACAAAACACAACATAACAAACCTACAACTGAGCAACATGAACCCCACCAAAAACTGGTGGTGATCTCAAGTGCTGCGATAGGGTAACAAGATCCTGTTCCACATATGGCACCCGTCGTGTTGCTTGTGTAATTACAAACCCGGTGATAAGTCTAGACTTAATACTATAATTCGAAAGGTCCCGATCGATAAAGAGAGGACGAGTTTACGTCAATTGTAACATATCCGTCGTCATCTCTAAAACAAATATTCCATAAAGGTCAACCAACTCGTGGTGGCGAGGATGAAAATTTTCGATTATTTCAAATTTACCACTTGGAACTCTCATTTTAATAGCTTCCTTGTGTGCAGCAATCCTCTATCAATGAAACAATGACAGAAAATGCAAACTCTAGAATATCGTATGAACTGGGAGGTAAATACCTCATATGCAGGTTCTACCTGAACAAATGCTGAATGTTGCTACATAGAAATGGAAAGTTCACAATTTGGAAGCTGAAATCATCTCTCTTGTCGTAAAGAGTTGTACTCAACCGACCCTCATTGTCAATTTCTAGATATGAGGCAGGCTTATCTGTTATATGTTTTATTTAAAGTTCGTTGTTCTCGATGCGTTCACCAACCTGAATTATTTATTGGGAGAATATTATCTATATAGTGAAACGTAAAGTTAGAGGATAATGCTAGCTTCTTTTCGTTCCCCCTAAGAAGCTCCTGTATGTATTTCACATACGTTTCATTTTAGTCTTTGGTAGATAGTTGTATCATTGGCAGTCATGCCACATTCTCTTATTTTTATTAACATGTTGGGGCCCTTTATAGCTTGCTGTTCGGTGTGAGCCAATGCTCCGTGTTGAAGGCCGTACCTTGACCTATAATGGTTTACTTTTATAAATTTTAACTTGGATGGAGAGTTGTCTCATTGGCACTCATACCACATCTTCCTATATCTGTTAAATATATTAGAAAAATAACAGCTAAATATCTATGTCTTTTTTTTTTTTTTTTTTGATAATGAGAGTGTTTAGGGTGTAATTAATAACACAATTTGGTACATTCGGATAATGCATGTGAGATGGATTTAATTGTTCGCAGGAAACATGTGTAGTACCTTTAATGTAAACTGCAAGCATCGTTCTTTTTCCTATGTCCGTATTATACGCTGATATTACTAAATTTCTGAATTTTCAGAATAATGTTTTAATAAAACTGTTCTATTTATTTAGAAATACAGGTTCGCCAACGCTCAAGAAAGTATTTGATTTTGATGTGAACATTACTTCAAAATTGTCACCCAAAAGAAAGACGTTTGGTGATCTGATGCCATGGGAAAACCAAAACGTTCAACAAGAGACATCTACATCCAAGCGAAAATCAATCCGCGACTGACGTCATATGCTGTCGGCATCAACTGACATCCAATTAAAGAGTGATTTGATGCCATGGGAAAATCAGAACGTACAACAGGAGATATTAACATCCAAGCGTAAATCAATCTGCGACTGACGTCATCTGCTGTCGGCATCAACTGACATCAAATTAAAGAGTGATCTGATGCCAAGGGAAAATCAGAACGTACAACCAGAGAAATTAACACCCAAGCGTAAATCAATCCGCGATTGACGTAATCAACTGACGTCATGATTCATGGTAATCGTTCACAAGCGAAAGGAAGATACTTTCTTTTTTTGCTTGATAATGTATCTATGTATTATTGAATACAGAACAGGATTTTGTGTAAGGCAAAAATGTATACAAAACATTTGAATCCAAAACAATATTCTAGTTTTAATAATAACTGACAAATCGTTTCCATAGCTCTTAAGTATAATTTCTATTAAAAATACATAGTATGGTTCGTTGTTAATGTAATATACTTATAATCAGATCACATCTTAAAGAATTATGTCATAATACTTTTTTAATGTTTAAGCAAACTGTACCGAATCCGTTTTCCATTTTCTATGTTTTCTACTTAACTCTAAAGAAGTCCTTTCCATAACATTTATTTTTTTTCATAGTAAAAAACTGCTACAGAACAATAACAAAAAAAGCATATACAGTATACTAGTATGAAACGGCCAGTAGTTATGTTTGAAAAATAACTTCGCCTTCATTATTACATTTCATATATAAATTACAAAATGGGTAATCAGCGTTGTTAATTTTTTATTGTATTAAGTGATTTTTAATCTTATGACCGTAGAGAGAAGTATTTATTTTAATTCTTCCTTGTTCATTTGTGCGCTGTCTTTGTTTATTTGTGCTTTCCTTTTCACGTTTATTTGTTCATTAATGTGTTCATTGATACCTATATTTGTTAATTGTTATGTTCCTGAAGATGCACATGTCTTAGCACCTGTATCAGTTCAATAGCTCCTGTATCAGTTCAATACTACCTGTATCAGTTCAATAGCACCTGTATGTCTTCAATAGCAAATGGGTGTGTTCAATAGCTCCTGTATGTGTTCAATAACACATGTACGTGTTCAATAACACATGTATGTGTTCATTATCATATGTGTGTGTTCATTAGCACATCTATGTGTTTATGAGCACCTGTATTTGTTCCTAAGGATGTGTATGTTTTCATTATCACCTGTATGTGTTCATTAGAATCTGTATGTGTTCGTTAGCACCTGCATGTGCTCATAAAAACATGTATGTGATCTTCAGCACCCGTATGTGTTCATTTGACCGTGTTCAGTGTTGTGATCGATTTTCCAATCAGTCATACTTGATCCAGGAATATTTAGTACTGGTATATAAAATTTTAATCTTCTTGAACTTCATGCAACTGGAAACAATCTCATATTTGGAAGAATTAGGCGTTTTATCGTCTTACCAACAGGTGTTGATTTTTCGCCTGGAAATAACATTAGTCAAAATTTAAAACAAATAAATAATTTCATTACTCAAATGTATTTTACTTTTTTTATTGGTGGGCATTAAAAAGGGCTTTTGATTAGAGCATTACTTTCACATTATAAGTCATAATGGTTAATTTCACGGAATTTTCTTGATATAAATTACACACAAACTTAACATCAAGTCCGAGTTAACTTATTTTGTGAGTGAGTAAAAAAATAAGGTTTCAACTACTTCAGGCAAAGTTGACCTGAGATGAATTCGCAATTTTCAGGGTTTTTTTGTCATACAGCTCTGCAACTGTTTCGGTTCTTAGACATCATTAGCATTCAAATAATCGACTTTGAACGTTCCTGATGAAAGAAAATCCTGAATAGCGCTTCTGACGCATGAAATTTATAAAGTGCTGTTTTTTTATAAACAAATTTAAATAAACTCCTTCAAAATAACATTGATTACTTTCATATCGTAATACTAGTCCTCTACCTGTCACGAATGTCATTGACGTTTACCCATATCTGACTTAATTAATGGCGATCTTGCTTCTCTCGGTGTTTCTTCTCTCTTGTATACAAGTCTAACTTTCATTAATAAAGTAATTACTTGATTAAACTTTTTACCATAGGAATAGGCTTCGAATTACTAAGCTTTTGAATGATGACGGAGAGAGAGAGAGAGAGAGAGAGAGAGGGATATTTCATGTTACCATAGAGTTTGCAGAGTTATTTATTTATTTACTTAATATTTGGTACGCACGAGAGAGAGAGAGAGAGAGAGAGAGAGAGAGAGAGAGAGAGAGAGAGAGAGAGAGAGAGAGAGAAGGGGGGGGGGGGGTACTTCATATAGTTTGCAAAGTTATTTATTTATTTACTTAATGTTTTTATATTTGTTATCTGTAAAATCATTTATGTTGTACATATTAACATATTAAATAGTTTATTCCAGTTCATGTGCGACAATTTTAAGATTTTAGTTTTAATACAGACTGTTGTTCTAATGGTAATGTTGATTAAATGATGTAATTTTATGACAATATTTTTTTACATATCAAGTTTATTTTTAAAAATAGCTTTGTCTTATTAGTAAGCAGAAAACAAAAAACTTATATATATTCAATAAAGTATTTTTTTTATATGACTTTCTCCGTATACTACATTTTAGGAATTCAGCCCAACCAAATTAAAAGTCCATAAGGGAGCTGCCATTTGATTTTTATGGGGGGGGGGGGGGCTAGGATGAAAAATTTTGTCCTGCATTTTTTTTTTAGTTGTTATCTCTGTCCTGCCTTTTTATTTTTCACTCTATTCGGTCCTGCCTTTTTTTTTTAGTTTATCCTGACTTTTTTTAGATAAATTGTCATCCTGCCTTTTTTTTTTGCAAAGTGTCTCATCCTGCCTTTTTTTTACTCAAAACTCCTGTCCTGCCTATTTTTTCAAATTTCATCCTAGCCCCCCCATAAAAATCAAATGGTAGCTCCCTAAGGTAGACGAAAGATATCACAGGAATATGCAAACTCTGAAGTCAGAAAGAAACTCACAATTCCATGACAAAAAACGAAAAACGATCAAAATACGACAACAGTACACAAAAGACAGCAAAGAAAACAAAAGCCTGAGCATCTTTTTGAGCAATTTGTGTACAGCCTAGTTGGCAGGGTACTCTAAAGTGTATGTAGTATTGCCTGAAATCCCAACAGCTCGGCTTGAATCCTACCGAGAGAAAGATATTTGCAAGAAAAAACACACACTTCTAACATTGCTGTGCTGAAAAAGACGAAAAGAGTGAAAAATCCTTGTACCGTTGACTTGTCAATTCAATAGAAAAATTGGTTTCATTCAATTTTCGCATGTGAAGAGGCATGATATAGATAGCCAAGACTGCATAACTTGAGTTAGATTATCACCTTTTCAAATATATTGTACTAAAGGTTAAATGCAAATATATGCCGTATCCAAGTCACTAAACTTCATATCTAATCCCAGAGAAGAGGAGGCATCGTCCGAGGCACTAAAGTTAAATCGATACATATTGTCAAAACTCGTAAATTAATTTAAATATACAAACGAAGACGGGAAAACATGTAATCGCAAAAACTCCAAACAGACAAAGAGTTGTTTTTCTACGAAGAATCGTCTTATGTAATGTATACATTACTTCCCCACTCCCATCGTCCCCACCCCTACCCCACCCCAGTGTTTTAAGTCAATACGCAATGTTTATGTTCACGCTGATTCCAATATGATATAATCTTTCAATTTCCAACTTTTTTTCTTAAATTCTCCCATATTCTCGCAGTTCGTTTTCAAATGTTTCAGTCATCATTTTTTTATTTTACCTTCTTTTCTCTGTTTCCCGCAATAATGAGCTTATTGTTATATATTTTTAACATGTTACGGATGTGGAATAGATGAAGAAGAGTCCGAAATTTTGTGTATGTATATGTCTGTACATTTATCGGTATTACGTTTTCGGTCCTTATACATCCTTGGCTTTCGAATATTCGTCTTTGAGCGTTCCTGATGAAGGTAAATCCAGGAAAGCGCTTCGGACGCATGACATTTATAACGTGTTGTTTTCATTTTTTTATCATTTTGGATAAAATCTCCTAATCATGATTTCCTATATCACGTTTCTTGTTTTTACAACGTATATCCTACTTGGCACACGAACTGTATCCCTAAAACCTTTTGTTGATAAAATCATGGCGACAAATATAATCAACTTTACATAAACAGGGTAAACAGTTTGACTTGTGCATTACATGTTTAACTAAATATTTATAATGTCGGTGTTTTTGTTTTAAATGTTTACACTTACACGGGGATTATTTAAATTTACAAACAGTAGATAATAATTTATCCATTAAAACGTGTAATATTTTGTGTCAATAGACTTCTCGCAACTTGATTGATTTATTTGACCTTTGTATAAGTTGTAAGATTTATCTCCCCTTTCTTACAAGCACGTTTGCTGCCATACAGTTTTACATTTTAAACATATTATTATTGATGGTTGATGTTTAAAGAAATCCATAACAAAGAAAATTTTGATAAACTAAATGTGAAATTATTTTTCCATAATTTTCAATGAAAAGAAACTATATTTTTTCACTAACCTCAAACAAAATCATGTTTTTCAAGAAATTTAAAATCAAACATTTTTTTCAAACCCTTGCTCCCCCATCATTTTCCACAAAAGATGAATTGTTGGTGTCTTACATGTTGTCGTTGAGGTTTTATGACTTACTTCAGCTAGGACACAGGACATTTATCTTTTGTTATATTCTTTCTTAAAAATAAATACGGTTTCATTAACATTCATTTTCTGTATTTCTCATAGAAATAAGGATAATTCAGCAACAAAAGGCTGCAAAGTTATGTCATACGCTATCTAAATTTTTCAAAAAGGGGGACAACTGATTATTTTGGAACTACAATATACACCAACTGTCACCATGAAAAACAGAAATATAGAATGTGTAATCTATGAAATAGTTTGTTTTTTTTTTTCTTTTAATTTTGTGAAATTAAGTGTTTATGTGACCCAATATTTAGTATTGCAATAGACAGTAAAACACATCAATTTATTACTCATATAAATACGTCAAAATCGATTAACAGGTCGCCTTTCAATATCAAAGGATCAATTTTAAGGACACCGCCCAAAAAGTAAACTGATTGAAATTTAACAACTGAATTTTTCAAAAGCAATGCAATTATTACAGTTGTTAAAAAAATATCAAAAGAAAATCTGCAGGGATTACCAAATAGGGCGTTCCCCATATTTGAATTATAATCCAGCATAAACGTCTTAATACCAACAAGCTTTTATGATATGTCTGCCGACCAAAAGAGACAGTGCAGTAATGATTTGATTTTTAATTATTTATTGTCTATGTTTAACTTTGATGAGATAAGCCTACTGTCTGTCATAAGTAGTCCTCAGAGATTAGAGGTTAATCTATTGGGTATACAATGACAGGAAGATCGACTTTCACTAATATTATATTGTTATAATAATAAATAGATTTCCGATTAAAGTTTATTTAAAATCCATTAAACTGATTTGATAGTCTTTTCGGATAATAAAGAGTGTAGCTTATTACCGAAATTGCTACAATGCTTGTTGTACTCGGTGACTGGTACAAGGCGGCGGTTTCATTTTTTTCCTCTGTGTATTCTTGAAAATTTTAATAACATTAACGGTACCAAATATTCTGCACCCGATGCGCATTTCGACAATAAATGTTTCTTCGGTGATGCTCAAGGCAAAAATATTTAAAAATCCAAAATTTATTAAAAAAAATTACCGAAAGCATCTTCGTTTTTCTTCTGTTTTTTCCTATATAAAGTCAACATTTCCTCGTATCCTGAACTAACTTGTCAATGTCAAATA